GGTCCCCTCCACTATCATCAACCTCGTCTCCGACTACTTCTTCTTCTTCCTCCTTCCTTCGTCGTCTTCCTTCAATTTCTCAAATCGGAATTTGTTTGTTCGAAGAAGAATCTGATATGATTACTGATCCAGGTCTAAACGGATATTCCGGTGCGGTTAATCGGATCCGTTTACCCGATCAATCCTCATCGTTCACTCCGGTAACACTATTCGACGGCTTCAACTACAATCTCTCCGATCATAGGAACACGACGGCTCCGGTGGATTCAGATTTTAATCGTGAAGAAGAAGAAGATCCAGCAGATGATTTCGATTTCTCCGATGCTGTCTTAGGGTACATTAGTCAGATGTTGATGGAGGAAGATATGGAAGATAAAGTCTGTATGTTACAAGAGTCTCTAGATCTCGAAGCTGCAGAGAGATCTTTGTACGAAGCTATTGGTAAGAAGTATCCTCCTTCTCCAGAACCGGATTTAGCTTTCGTTGATCGAAACAGCGAAAACCTTGACCATGTCGTTCCCGGGAACTATACCGGAGATCGTAATGGAGACGGTAGGTTTATCATCGGGAACGGTGGAATCAGGCCATTGAGTGGTTTTACCTTAGATTTTCGGAATCCTCAGAGTTGTTCCTCTGTACTTAGTGTTCCTCAAACTAATGGTTTAGTTACTATCTATGGAGATGGAATAGAGGAATCTTCTAAGAGTTTGTATGGTGATGTGAATCCTGAGAGTCAATCTGTTTGGTTGTTTAGGCGTGGGATTGATGAAGCTAGTAGAGAAAATGAGATGATTATGAATTTCAGAGAAGGGGGTTGTATGAGGAACAAAGGAAGGAAAAACCCGAACCGGGACGAGGTTTGTGTGGAAGAAGAGAGATGTAGTAAAGTACCTGCGGTGTTTTCTGAAACGATTTTGCGATCAGATATGGTAGATAAGATTTTGGTTCATGTCCCTGGAGGAGAAAGCATGAAGGAGTTTGATGCGTTGCGTGAAGTCTTGAAGAAAGGAGTTGAGAAGAAGAAAACTTTGGTTCCTCAAGAAG